AAGCCTGTATTTGTTTACATCATCATCCAAAAAATATTTTCCAAAAAAAACCCTATATGTCGATTATAAAGCCAAGATCCATCTTCCAGGAGATGGTTTGAAACAGGTGAACCTCTCGAGTTCTGTAAGGAATGAGTCTTCTCCTCTGGAGAAAGAGCCCGCTTTCAAGGGGTCCTGGGGGGCAAGCGCTGCCGGTACATCCCCGCAAGGGCTTTGGCGGCGCTGAAGATCATCTGCCGGCGGGACATCCCGGTGAACGCCGCGTGCCAATCGGTCCGGTCGACGTGTGGCAAGGCCTTCGCGATCACTTCGCCCACCGTCACCAAGAGGCCCGACCATCGGAGGTTGTAGTCCTGAGGAGTCAGGCTCTGGGCCTGGGGAAGAAAGCGTTCAGGGGGAAAAAGCGTGGGAAAAGGCAAAGGAATTGTGGACTAAAAATATCGGCAATTATGTCAGAATCACCATAAGAACAGAGTTTCATCTATGCTGATGATCGTGCCATCACCACCCAAGCAGAGAGCTTGGAAATGGTTGAAGCTTTAGATCACTAGGTTCTTATGGGTTTTCCCGGGCTATATGGCCATGTTCTAGAGGCATTTCTCCTGACGTTTCGCCTGCATCTATGGCAAGCATCCTCAGAGGTAGTGAGGTCTGTTGGAATTAGAACAATGGGTTTATAGATCTGTGGAATGACTGGGGTGGGGCAAGAGCTCTTCTCTGCTGGAGCTAGGTGTGAATGTTTCAACTGACCACCTTCATTAGCATTTGAAGGCCTGGCTGAGCCTGGGAAAATCTCTTGCTGAGAGGTGTTAAGATGTGCCTGGTTGTTTCCTCTCTGTTGTTTTGCTGTTGTAATTTTAGAGTTTTTTAATACTGTAGCCAGATTTTGTTCATCTTCATGGTTTCCTCCTTTCTGTTGAAATTGTCCACATGCTTGTGGATGTCAATGGCTGTGTAGTCTGACATGGTGGTTGTTGGTGTGGTCCAGCACTTCTGTGTTCTCAAATAATGTGCTGTGTCCATGTGGACAATACAATATTATAATTATATATTTATATTACATGTAATATTACAATGTAATGGTATAGTACAACATAGCAATATATAATACTGATATTGAACTATGCTAATAATACAATATAATATAATGAATATATATACAATATTTATAATATAATAATGTAATATAATATAATACTACTATTAATATTAACAATACAATATTATAATTATAGATTTTATATTACATGTAGTATATAATACTGATATTGTGCTATGCTAATAATATAATATAATATAATAAATATATATATAATATTATAATATAATAATATATATTATAATATTTATAATATTATAATATAATACTACTATTAATATTAATAATACAATATTATAATTATATTTATTATATTACATGTAATATTACAATATAATGGTATAGTACAATATAGTAATATATAATACTGATATTCTACTATCCTAATAATATAATATAATGAATAACTATACAATATTTATAATATTATAATGTAATATAATATACTACTAATAATAATACAATATTATAATTATATATTTTATATTACATGTAATATTGCAATATAATGGTATAGTGCAATATAGTAATATATAAAACTGATATTGTACTATGCTAATAACATAATATATTGTATGTATATATATCTTGTAAGCCGCTCTGAGTCCCCTTTGGGGTGGGAAGGGCAGCATATAAATATCATAAATAAATAAATATTCTCAATTTGCTTCTGACACAATAAATAAATCACCTCGCATAATTATATCTGGTTGCACACCACAACAGAAGATTCTACTCTAAAAGGTTTGGGGCTTTTCTCTGAAAGATCACGCTTTTCTAAAAGTTATGATCTCCAAAAGGTGTATTCCAAGAGGTTATGAATGCCAAATTCAAGTCCAAAATGCTTGGCTGAAGATCTACATTCTCACCTGTTGTACGTATTCGAGAGGTACCGGCGTCGCTTGGGTGAAGGTTTCCAGGTGAATGCCGTGAATCGGATCCTCTACGATGATGCAGCCAATGTCAAACCACCTGCAACAAGGAAAAAAAACCAGTGGCATTTGTTGAAGTGTATTTCAAAACAGTCAGGTAGCCTCTGAAAGCGATTTACGTACAGATTTTAGAGTTCAAAATTGCCATTTCAATTTTAAAAATTCAGAATATCTCACTTGTCTGGTAGCAGTTCTGCGATAAAATTCTCCACGGACACAGTGGGCTGCTTCTCGTGTATAATTCCCGTCCGTCGCAAGCTGTCGATCCTTTCTTGGGCTCCCTGAAAGATAGCAGAAGGAGTCGGTAGGAAAATGTTGGACTAAATATATAATATTGTAATATAATATATTGTATATATTGTAATAAACACGACCAGTGTTTATTTTATTTTTTTAAATTTATTACATCTGGCCCGGCCATAAGGTTTTACATTCTCTGTGTTATTGTTTATATGTACTTTATATTAATCATACTGTTTTATTTGCTTATTGCTTTGTTGTTTTTACTCATAGAATCATAGAATCCAAGAGTTGGAAGAGACCTCCTGGGCCATCCAGTCCAACCCCATTCTGCCAAGAAGCAGGAATGTTGCATTCAAAGCACCCCTGACAGATGGCCATCCAGCCTCTGTTTAAAAGCTTCCAAAGAAGGAGCCTCCACCACACTCCGGGGCAGAGAGTTCCACTGCTGAACGGCTCTCACAAGTCAGGAAGTTCTTCCTCATGTTCAGGTGGAATCTCCTCTCTTGTAGTTTGAAGCCATTGTTCCATGCGTCCTAGTCTCCAAGGAAGCAGAAAGGAAGCTTGCTCCCTCCTCCTCCCTGTGGCTTCCTCTCACATATTTATACATGTCATCATGTCTCCTCTCAGCCTTCTCTTCTTCAGGCTAAACATGCCCAGCTCCTTAAGCCGCTCCTCATAGGGCTTGTTCTCCAGACCCTTGATCATTTGAGTCGCTCTCCTCTGGACACATTCCAGCTTGTCAATATCTCTCTTGAATTGTGGTGCCCAGAATTGGACACAATATTCCAGGTGTGGTCTAACCAAAGCAGAATAGAGGGGTAGCATTACTTCCCTAGATCTAGACACTTGCTCCTCTTGATGCAGGCCAAAATCCCATTGGCTTTTTTTGCCGCCACATCACATTGTTGGCTCATGTTTAACTTGTTGTCCACGAGGACTCCAAGATCTTTTTCACACGTACTGCTCTCGAGCCAGGCATTGTCCCCCATTCTGTATCTTTGCATTTCGTTTTTCCTGCCAAAGTGGAGTATCTTGCATTTGTCACTGTTGAACTTCATTTTTGTTAGTTTTGGCCCATCATCTCTCTAATCTGTCAAGATCGTTTTGAATCCTGCTCCTGTCCTCTGGAGTATTGGCTATCCCTCCCAATTTGCTGTCGTCTGCAAACTTGATGATCATGCCTTCTACCCTTCATCTAAGTCATTAATAAAGATGTTGAACAGGACCGGGCCCAGGACGGAACCCTGCATGGCACTCCACTCGTCACTTCTTTCCAGGATGAAGAGGAAGCATTGGTGAATCACCCTCTGGGTTCGTTCATTTAACCAATTACAGATCCACCTCACCGTAGTTTTGCCTAGCCCGCATTGGACTAGTTTCCTTGCCAGAAGGTCATGGGGGACCTTGTCAAAAAAGGCCTTACTGAAATCCAGGTAGGCCACATCCACGGCATTCCCCGCATCTACCCAGCTTGTAACTCTATCGAAAAAAGAGATGTGTTGTTGGGCTTGGCCTCATGTAAGCCGCTCCGAGTCCCCTTGGGGAGATAGTGGCGGGGTATAAATAAAGTTATTATTATTATTATTATTATTATTATTATTATTATATACATTTATAATAAACTGCCTTGAGTCATCTCCGGGCTGAGAAGGGTGGTATACAAGTATAGCAAATAAATAAATAAATGTAATGTAATGCAATATAATTTATTTTTTATATTTTTTTATTTATTTGTCGTGTCAGGGCAACCAGTCAATTATATTACATTTCTAACAGAACAAAGCAAACAAACAGACAAAATACAAAATTTGTGAGTTTGGTAGTTGGTTAAATGTCCTTTGACCAGTATCTGGCCACTTGGAGTGCTTCTGGTGTTGCTGCAAGAAGGTCCTCCATTGTGCATGTGGCAGGGCTCAGGTTGCATTGCAGCAGGTGGTCAGTGGTTTGCTCTTCTCCACACTCGCGTGTCGTGGATTCCACTTTGGCCCCATTTCTTAAGTTTGGCTCTGCATCTTGTGCCAGAGCGCATCCTGTTCAGCGCCTTCCAAGTCGCCCAGTTTTCTGTGTGCCCAGGGGGGAGTCTCTCATTTGGTATCAGCCATTGGTTGAGGTTCTGGGTTTGAGCCTGCCACTTTTGGACTCTCGCTTGCTGAGGTGTTCCAGCGAGTGTCTCTGTAGATCTTAGAAAACTATTTTTAGATTTAAGTCGTTGACGTGCTGGCTGAGGATGAGCTGGAGATGTCTCTGCCTTGGTCCTTTCACTATTGGCTGCTACTTCCCAGTGGATGTCAGGTGGTGCAATACCGGCTAAGCAGTGTAATTTCTCCATTGGTGTAGGGCGCAGACACCCCGTGATAATGCGGCATGTCTCATTAAGAGCCACATCCACTGTTTTAGCGTGGTGAGATGTGTTCCACACTGGGCATGCATACTCAGCAGCAGAGTAGCATAGCGCAAGGGCAGATGTCTTCACTGTGTCTGGTTGTGATCCCCAGGTTGTGCCAGTCAGCTTTCGTATGATATTGTTTCTAGCACCCACTTTTTGCTTGATGTTCAGGCAGTGCTTCTTGTAGGTCAGAGCACGGTCCAGAGTGACTCCCAGGTATTTGGGTGCGCTGCAATGCTCCAGTGGGATTCCTTCCCAGGTAATAATCCTCAGAGCTTGGGATGCTTGTCTGTTCTTGAGATGAAAGGCACATGTCTGTGTTTTAGATGGATTAGGGATCAGCTGGTTTTCCCTGTAATAGGCAGTAAGAGCACCTAGAGCTTCGGAGAGCTTCTGTTCAACCATCTCAAAGCTCCCTGCTTGAACGGTGATGGCACGATCATCAGCATAGATGAAACTCTCTGTCCCTTCTGGCAGTGGCTGGTCATTTGTGTCAATGTTGAACATGGATGGAGCAAGCGCGCTCCCCTGAGGCAGGCCGTTCTTCTGTTTCCGCCATCTGCTTCTCTGGCCCTGGAACTCAACAAAAAAGCTCCTGTTTTGTAGCAGGTTTCCTATGAGGCGGGTGAGGTGGTCGTCCTTTGTACATTTTTCTCAGGAGGAGGCGGTGGTTCACAGTCTCATAGGCTGCTGACAGGTCTCTGAAGACAGCTCCTGTGATCTGCTGCCTTTCAAAGCCATCTTCTATGTGCTGAGTCAGGTTCAGCACTTGCGATGTGCAGCTTTCGCCTTTCCTGAAGCCAGCTTGCTGTGGAATCAATATATTTTATATTAAATACAATATTACTAATAATATTACAGGATAATGTTATAGTATAATGTAATATATAATATTAATATTGTGCTATGATAATAATATATTGTATTTACTTTTTACTTGTAAGCCGCTCTGAGTCCCCTTCGGGACATATAAATTTTGTAAATAAATAAATATACTGATATTGTACTATGCTAATAACTTAATATATTGTAGGTATAGTATATCTTGTAATCCGCTCTGGAGTACAACACTGACTTCAACTTCTAATCTAAGGCCTATGAGATTTATAGAGTCCTAGCTATCTGGAAGGCAACAAGGCTGTCAATTCCTGTCAAATGAGCTGATTAACTAATTGTCACAAGCACTCACTTTCAAACCGGCTGCGTAGCCCACGGGTTGTGGGGCAATGTTGGACTGTCCGGCTTCTCCAGTGACGGTGGCCATCCCAAAAACCTCCTGGAAAGCGTCTCTCACCGCTGTAACCTTGACCTCTTTGACCGAGGTGACTACGATGTCCAGTTCCCCACCAGATCCTGTAACATAAGGATAAACCCAATTATATATATCCATAATTGTTTGAGCTCACAGTGCTCTCTGGATGTAGGTGAACTACTACTCCAAAACTCAAGATCAACGCCCATCAAACCCTTCCAGTATTTTCTGTTGGTCATGGGAGTTCTGTGTGCCAAGTTTGTTGGTTTACTCACAGAGTTCATGTATTCAGCATACAGTATAATGCATATCAATCTAGTTATAGATAGGATTTTAAATACTTTCTCTGTGTAGGTAACACTGGGCATCTTTCTCATAATCAACAGTCCAAAGTCTACAACAGTCCAAAGTCTCTATCTAGTCTGAAAGCCCAACAGAGTTTGAGATCTAAAAATGGAGTCTGAGTCCTGAATAGTCCCAGATCTGATCACATCATCTGCAGCCCCTCCCACAACAAAGTTAAGGAAAATTACACACCAATACACACATATACAATACAGTAAGCCAGTGTTTCTCAACCTGGGGGTCCTATAGAGTTTGAGATCTAAAAATGGAGTCTGAGTCCTGAATAGTCCCAGATCTGATCACATCATCTGCAGCCCCTCCCATAACAAAGAGTTAAGGAAAATTAGCATACCAATATACACATATACAATACAAGCCAAAATCACCTAGAGCTTCGGAGAGCTTCTGTTCAACCATCTCAAAGCAACCTGCTTGAACAGTGATGGCACGATCATCAGCATAGATGAAACTCTCTGTCCCTTCTGGCAGTGGCTGGTCATTTGTGACAATGTTGAACATGGATGGAGCAAGCACGCTCCCCTGAGGCAGGCCGTTCTTCTGTTTCCGCCATCTGCTTCTCTGGCCTTGGAACTCAACAAAAAAGCTCCTGTTTTGTAGCAGGTTTCCTATGAGGCGGGTGAGGTGGTCGTCCTTTGTGACATTTTTCTCAGGAGGAGGCGGTGGTTCACAGTCTCATAGGCTGCTGACAGGTCTCTGAAGACGGCTCCTGTGATCTGCTGCCTTTCAAAGCCATCTTCTATGTGCTGAGTCAGGTTCAGCACTTGCGATGTGCAGCTTCTGCCTTTTCTGAAGCCAGCTTGCTGCAAGCATGCAATAATATTACAATATAAAGGTATAGTACAATATAGTAATATATAATACAGGATAATGTTATAGTATAATGTAATATATAATATTAATATTGTGCTATGATAATAATATATTGTATTTACTTTTTACTTGTAAGCCGCTCTGAGTCCCCTTCGGGACATATAAATTTTGTAAATAAATAAATATACTGATATTGTACTATGCTAATAACTTAATATATTGTAGGTATAGTATATCTTGTAATCCGCTCTGGAGTACAACACTGACTTCAACTTCTAATCTAAGGCCTATGAGATTTATAGAGTCCTAGCTATCTGGAAGGCAACAAGGCTGTCAATTCCTGTCAAATGAGCTGATTAACTAATTGTCACAAGCACTCACTTTCAAACCGGCTGCGTAGCCCACGGGTTGTGGGGCAATGTTGGACTGTCCGGCTTCTCCAGTGACGGTGGCCATCCCAAAAACCTCCTGGAAAGCGTCTCTCACCGCTGTAACCTTGACCTCTTTGACCGAGGTGACTACGATGTCCAGTTCCCCACCAGATCCTGTAACGTAAAGATAAATCCAATTTTCATATATATATATATATATATATATATATATATCCATCATTGTTTGAGTCCACAGTGCTCTCTGGATGTAGGTGAACTACAACTCCAAAACTCAAGGTCAATGCCACCAAACCCTTCCAGTATTTTCTGTTGGTCATGGGAGTTCTGTGTACCATTGTTGGTTTACTCACAAAGTTCATGTATTCAGCATACAGTATAATGCATATCAATCTAGTTATAGATAGGATTTTAAATACTTTCTCTGTGTAGGTAACACTGGGCATCTTTCTCATAATCAACAGTCCAAAGTCTACAACAGTCCAAAGTCTCTATCTAGTCTGAAAGTCCAATAGAGTTTGAGATCTAAAAATGGAGTCTGAGTCCTGAATAGTCCCAGATCTGATCACATCATCTGCAGCCCCTCCCACAACAAAGTTAAGGAAAACAGCATACCAATACACACATATACAATACAGTAAGCCAGTGTTTCTCAACCTGGGGGTCCAATAGAGTTTGAGATCTAAAAATGGAGTCTGAGTCCTGAATAGTCCCAGATCTGATCACATCATCTGCAGCCCCTCCCACAACAAAGAGTTAAGGAAAATTGCATACCAATATACACATATACAATACAGTAAGCCAATGTTTCTCAACCTGGGGGTCCAATGACTTACTGATATACGGAGCCATGCCGGGGTCCAATGTTGTGATCATGGTTTCCACCGAGTGCTTGGTTTTATCAAGCACCGACTTCACCATCGGGTTTCCGGCCACTCCCTGCAGGAGAAAAATCATAACAATAAATATATATGTATTTGTGGTATATTTTAACTTCAGCAGGCTGAAAGCCAAAACCAAGGTTACAACAACATCTATTATAGAACTCCAGTATGTTGATGACAACATCATCAGCTTAATGGTGTAACATTAGAAAATGTGGACCATTTCCGCTCCCTTGGCAGCCACCTCTCCACAAAAGTCAACATTGACACTGAAATACAACACCACCTGAGCTCTGCGAGTGCAGCATTTTTCCAAATGAAGCAGAGAGTGTTTGAGGACCCGGACATCCGTAGGGAGACCAAGGTGCTTGTTTATAAAGCTATTGTCCTCCCAACCCTGCTATATGCCTGCGAGACGTGAACTGTCTACAGATGTCAACATTGACACCGAAATACAACACCACCTGAGCTCTGCGAGTGCAGCATTTTTCCAAATGAAGCACAGAGTGTTTGAGGACCGGGACATCCGTAGGGATACCAAGGTGCTTGTTTATAAAGCTATTGTCCTCCCAACCCTGCTATATGCCTGCGAGACGTGGACTGTCTACAGATGTCGACACTGAGACTGAAATACAACACCACCTGAGCTCTGCGAGTGCAGGATTTTTCCGAATAAAGCAGAGAGTGTTTGAGGACCGGGACATCCGTAGGGAGACCAAGGTGCTTGTTTACAAAGCTATTGTCCTCCCAACCCTGCTATACGCCTGCGAGACGTGGACTGGCTACAGACGTCACATGCAACTCCTGGAACGATTCCATCAGCGCTGCCCCCGAAAAATCCTGCAAATCTCTTGGGAAGACAGGCGGACAAATGTCAGCGTGCTGGAAGGGGCACACTGCGTATATCTTATTTGTAGTGGGAAAAACACTTTAAAACAATACAAAATGAAGAACAATTTTAACAAATATAAACTTATTAATATTTCAATGGGAAGTGTAGGCCTCCTTTTGGCTGATGAGATAGGATTGTTATTGTTGTTGTATGCTTTCAAGTAATTTCAGACGTAGGTTGACCCTGAAGAAGGGTCGGGTAAATGACCTCGGAGGGTCGTATCCGGCCCACGGGCTGTAGTTTGAGGACCTCTGAGCTAAGGCTTTGTTATTGTTTTCTGTCGGAACCTGGCAGAGCGCCGAAGCCATTGCCCAGCTCTCCTGTTTTGACTGATCTCTTCTAGTCTATCTCTTGGCTCGTTATCTACTTGCTCATTAATTTCTGCAGGTGCCGAGCTATTTTCATGTTCTCTCTCATGAGAACTCTGGGTAATAGTCCGGCAAAGTCCATAAAAACAAAGTCAAACTTCCCAATTAAAATGCAAGAAATCAGGAAACATGAATCCAAGGCATGAATATAAAAGCATAGAACAAAATTATGAAACAAAGGCACTTAAACATGTATTTTCGAAGCAAAGTTTCCATGAACTAAGACAGTGATGGGCAACCTTTTGAGCGCGGTGTGTCAAAATTCGCCAAAAAACTGAGCATAATTCAGGTGGTGTGTCACTTCAAGAAAAAAAACCATAATTTCGCAATATTTAGTTTAAATAACAAAAAATATATAATTGCAATTCCCACTTTCTCTCTTATCATGTTGTTCTACCTCTCTTTGTGTAAATAATATCCTTTTTGGAGTGTTTTAAAAAAATATAATTTAAAAAACCCAACAAAATATTATTTATTTTTAATTTAATTTAAATGTATTTCTAGCATTTAATATGCTATTTAATGTATTTCTAATAATAATAATAATGCAATAATAATAAAGTAACATTGCAAAATAATATTTTGATATTTAATTTACCATTTCATTTAAGGCATATATATATATATATATAATAATAATAATAACACTTTATTTATACCCCGCTACCATCTCCAAGGCAGCAGGAGACGACAAGATCCCAGCTGAACTGTTTAAAATAGTTATCAAGGACCAAGGTGATTCATGCCATATGCCAGCAAATATGGAAAACACAAGAATGGCCATCAGATTGGAAAAATCAACTTATATCCCCATACCAAAAAAGGGAAATGCGAAAGTCTGCTCAAACTTCCGTACAGTGGCCCTTATTTCTCATGCCAGTAAGGTAATGCTCAAGATCCTGCAAGGAAGACTCCAGCAATACATGGAGCGAGAGTTGCCAGATGTTCAAGCTGGGTTTAGAAAAGGCAGAGGAACCAGAGACCAGATTGCCAATATCCAGCTGGATAATGGAGAAAGGCAGGGAGTGTCAGAAAAACATCTATTTCTGCTTCATTGACTATTCTAAAGCCTTTGACTGTGTGGATCATAATAAATTGTGGCAAGTTCTTGGTGGGATGGGCATACCAAGCCACCTTGTCTCTCTCCTGAGGAATCTGTACAAGGACCAAGTAGCAACAGTAAGAACTGACCACGGAACAACAGACTGGTTCAAGATTGGGAAAGGCGTACGGCAAGGCTGCATCCTCTCACCCAACCTTTTTAACTTGTATGCAGAACACATCATGCGATGTGCGGGGCTGGATGAATGCAAGGCTGGGGTGAAAAATTGCTGGAAGAAACATTAACAACCTCAGATATGCAGATGACACCACTCTGATGGCCGAAAGCGAGGAGGAGCTGAGGAGCCTTCTAATCAAGGTGAAAGAAGAAAGCGCAAAAGCCGGGTTGCAGCTAAACATCAAAAAAACCAAGATTATGGCAACAAGAATGATTGACAACTGGGAAATAGAGGGAGAAATTGTGGAGGCCGTGACAGACTTTGTATTTCTAGGTGCAAAGATGACTGCAGATGCAGACTGTGGCCAGGAAATCAGAAGACGCTTCCTTCTTGGGAGGAGAGCAATGTCCAGTCTCGATAAAATAGTAAAGAGTAGAGACATCAGACTGGCAACAAAGATCCGCCTAGTCAAAGCCATGGTATTCCCTGTAGTAACCTATGGATGTGAGAGCTGGACCTTAGGGAAGGCTGAGCGAAGGAAGATCAATGCTTTTGAACTGTGGTGTTGGAAAAGTTCTGAGAGTGCCTTGGACTGCGAGAAGATCAAACCAGTCCATCCTCCAGGAAATAAAGCCCGACTGCTCACTGGAGGGAAAGATACTAGAGACAAAGTTGAAGTACTTTGGCCACATCATGAGGAGACAGGAAAGCCTAGAGAAGGAATGATGCTGGGGAAAGTGGAAGGCAAAAGGAAGAGGGGCCAACCAAGGGCAAGATGGATGGAGGGCATCCTTGAAGTGACTGGACTGACCTTGAAGGAGCTGGGGGTGGTGACGGCCGACAGGGAGCTCTGGCGTGGGCTGGTCCATGAGGTCACGAAGAGTCGGAGACGACTGAACGAATGAACAACAACAACATTAAGGCATATATTAAAAATATTTAAAATGCATTAAATTAAAATGCATTAAATTAAATGTCAAATTAAAATTCAATTTACCATTTCATTTAAGGCATTCTGAAATATTTGAGTAATATAGAAAAGTATTATTTATCATTTAATTTAATTTAAATACGTAACTCCTTAATATTTAGGAAACAATGCAAAATAATATTCGTTTACTTAATAATTAAATAAACCAATATTATTTTGCAATGTTACCTAAATATTAATAATTAAATATTTTTAAATTTGACATTTAATTTAATGCATTTTAATATTTGAATAATATAGCAAAGTAATAGTATTTATCATTCAGTTTAAATATGAAACTCCTTAATATTTAGGTAACATTGCAAAATAATAATTTCTTTCCTATTTATTTTTTAAATGGCATAAAATAAATAAACAAATAATATCCGGCGGGCGCGTGTCAATAGAAATGGCTACGCGTGTCAGTACTGACACGCGTGTCATAGGTTCGCCATCACGGCTCTAAGGACGAGGTCTTGACTTGATTCCAAACAATGCTTCATCTGACTACATATCCTGTACTTGGGACTTTTATCTCCTCGTTAGCTATGTCTCCAGCTCAGAAATTGGTTTCGCTTTAGCTGAGAATCTCTTATCTTTTTCTCTCGGAGCCTGGCAGATCGCCGAAGCCACTGCTCGGCTCTTCTGCTTTGACTGATCTCCTCCCGTCTATCTATTTGCTCGGCCAGGTGCCGAGCTATTTTCATGTTCCCTATTATGGGAACTCCCTGGTAACAATTCAGAAAGCGCACCATCATCCCACACACCCCTGAAACACAATCACAGGCTGAACTCCAACAGTCAGACATGCCAGCAAAACGTCAGGAGAGAATGCTACACAAACATAGCCATACAGCTCAATAAACTCACAGCTTTGTGTTTTGCTGCCTTGCTCTAAAGAGGATACACACTTACTTTGATGAAGCCCCAAAGTCCGCCTCCGGCCGCGGTCTCGCCATGCAAGTCCGCCACCCGGGGGTCTTCGCGTTCCTCCGGGAAAGTAATGGAAGAGGGTCCGCTGGGACCGGGAACCAAGGACGGCGGCATTGGCGCCTGCTGTGACACAGGGCTTGTCAAGACGCCTGCAAACCAAGAACCGGCAAAATAAAAAAATGTTACAGTCCGTCCTTCTGTTGCTGAATGCAAACACTGCAAACGACAGATAGACTTCAGTTTGGAGGAGGGTGGACCATGGACGATGGGACTTGAAGTACCTCCACTCACTTCCTGAAACCGTTGCGGCCCTCATCCGATGACCTATCAAGACCAAACTTGGCACACATAACCCCTATGACCGCATTTACGTCCTGGTGAGGTTGGGAAGGACGGACAATGAATGATGGGATTTGTAGTACTTCCAAATCCTTCGGTTCCCACAGACCACTAGCCCCCCCCCCCACAAAGACCAAACTTGCCACACAGAGCCTCCATAACCCACTCTGCATCCTACTTCAGTTTGGAGGAGGGTGGACCATGGATGATGGGACTTGAAGTACCTCCACTCACTTCCTGAGACCGTTGCCACCCTCATCCAATGACTGAACAAGACCAAACTTGGCACATAGAGCCCCCATAACCCCCTCTACATCCTGGTACAATTTGGAGGAGGATGGGCCATGGATGATGGGACTTGCAGTACCTTCACTCACTTACCGAGACCGCTGTGACCCTCATGCAAAGACTGATCAAGATCAAACTTGGCACAGAGAGCCCCCATGGCCAATTCAACATTCTGGTGTGGTTTGGGGGAGGATACAGTATGGATGATGGGACTTGCAGTACCTTCACTCAGTTTCTGAGACTGCTGCGATCCTCATCCAATGACTGATCAAAACCAAATTTGGCACACAGAGCCCCATAACCCCCTCTACATCCTGGTACAATTTGGAGGAGGATGGACCATGGATGATGGGACTTAAAGTACCTTCACTCACTTCCAGAGACCACTGCGACCCTCATGCAACGACTGATCAAGATCAAACTTGACACACGGAGCCCCCATGACCCACCCTACATCCTGGTGCTGTTTGGAGGAGGACGGACCATGGATGATGGGACTTGCAGTACCTTCACACACTTGCTGTGACCACAGCAAGACTCATCCAATTACCAATAAAGACCAAACTTGGCACAGAGAGCCCCCATGGCCAACTCAACATTCTGGTTCGGTTTGGGGAGGCCAGACTACGGATGATGGGACTTGCAGTACCTTCAATCACTTTCTGAGACCACTGTGACCCTCATCCAATGACTGATCAAGACCAGTCATTGAAGAGGAAGAGGGAAAGAAAAGTAAGAAGGAAGAAGAAAGAAATAAAAAGTGAAAGAGGAAGAAAGGAGAGAAGGAATGAAAGAGAGAAAGAGGGAGGGAAGGAAGGAAGGAAAGAAATAAAAAAAAAAAAAAATAAAAAAAAAAAAACAAGTGAAAGAAGAAGAAGGAGAGAAGGAACAAAAGAGAGAAGGGGAGGAAAGAAGGAAAGAAAGAAAGAAGAAAGGAAAGAAAGAGAAGGAAGGAGAGAAGGAAGAAAAGAGGAAGAGGAAGGAAGGAAGAAAGAAGGGAGAAGGAAGGAGAAAGGAAAAAAAAGGAAAGGAAGGAAGGAGGGAGGGAGGGAGGGGAAGGAAGGAAGAAAGAGGAAGGAAGGAAAAAAGAAGGAGAGAAGGAAGGAAGGAGAGGAGGAAAAAGAAAGAAAGAGAAAGGAAGGAAGAAGGAGAGAAAGGAAGGAGGGAAGGAAGGAAGGAAATAAAAAGTGAAAGAGGGAAGGAAGGAGGAAGGAAGAAAGAGAGAAGAGGAAGAAGGAAAGAAAGGTAGAGAAGGAAGAGAGAAGGAAATAAAAAAGTGAAAGAGGGAAGGAAGGAGAGAAGGAAAGAAAGAGAGAAAGAGAGGAAGAAGGAAGGAAGGAAGAAGGAAGGAAGGAAGAAGGAAGGAAGGAAGGAGGAAGGAAGGAAAAAAGAAAGAAGAAAGAGAAGGAAGGAAGGAAGGAAGAAGGAAAAGAAAGAGGAGAAAGGAAAAGGAAAGAAAGGTAGAGAAGGAGGAAGGAGAGAAAGAAATAAACAAGTGAAAGAGGAAAGGAAGGAGAGAAGGAACGAAAAAGAGAAAAAGGGAAGGAAGGAGGGAAAGAAAGTAGAGAAGGAAGGAAGGAAAGAAGGAAATAAAAAAGTGAAAGAGGGAAGAAAGGAGAGAAGGAACGAAAGAGAGAAAGAGGGAGGGAAGGAAGGAAGAAAGAGAAAGGAAGGAGAAAAGAGGAAAGGAAGGAGAGAAGAAACGGAAGAGAAAAGAGGGAAGAAGGAAAGGAAAGAAAGGTAGAGAAGGAAGGAAGGAGAGAAGGAAATAAAAAAAGTGAAAGAGGAAAGGAAGGAGAGAAGGAACGAAAAAGAGAAAGAGGGAGGGAAAGAAGGAAAGAAAGAAAGAAAGGTAGAGAAGGATGGAAGGAGAGAAGGAAGGAAGGGGAGAAAGAGGGAGGGAAGGAAGGAAGGAAGGAAAGAAAGGTAGAGAAGGAAGGAAGGAGAGAAGGAAATAAAAAAGGAGGGAGGGAAAGAAGGAAAGAAAGATAGAGAAGGAGGGAAGGAAGGAAAGAGACAAGGAAGGATGGAACCAAAGAGCAAAGGAAGCGAGAAAATAAACAGGTAGAGAAGGAAGGAAGAAGGGAAAGAAAAAGAGGGAAGGAAGGAAAGAAAGAAAGGAGCGAAAGAGGGAGGGAAGGTTGGCCACAGCAACGCGTGGTGGGTGCAGCTAGTGATAAATAAACCTAGAAAATAATATCTCATTTGTACCTGTGACAGAAGGAGCCGAAAACGAGGGCATCAGCGGCGTCTGTGGCGCTCGCCCCGCGTGTCCTTTCGTGATGTCGTAAGTCGAGCTGATCGAAAAGCCGGAGATGGGGGGCCCGCTCGGCGGGGCAGAGAGCACTGGGCCCGGAGTGGAGCTTAAGGGGGGAGCGGATGGGAAGGGGGGCATGGGGCTGCTGAAAGAGGAAGTCATGGGGGGGACGGCGGGGAAAGGACCCGCCGAAACAGTCACCGAGGGCGCAAAGGGCAAAGGGGGAGGAGGAAGAGGGCCCGCGGAGGGAAGAGGGGAAACCACGGGTGGCAAAGGCGAGGCAAAGGTCTGGGGAGGAAACGTGGGGGCCGCCAGGGTCTTCGGGGGCGCAGTCGCACTGGCTGGAGCTGCAGAGGAGAACAGAGAGAAAAGAATTGGTCTAGGGCTGCTTGGGAACCCCCGGTCGCTCAGTGGGCTGCTGAATTTGCTGACCGGTTAGAAACCAGGGAGAAGGGTGAGCTCCCATTGTTAGCCCCAGCTTCTGCCAACCTAGCAGTTCGAAAACATTGCAAATATGAGTAGATCATTGGGGGTAAGACAACAAGAAGTGAGTGTGATCTGGTATATTATTAATATTATTATTATATTATAACATAATAATATTACATTATAATATAATATATTCTAATAATATATTTTAATAATATTATGTTATAATATAACTAAAATTATTATATTATAACAGGGGAGCCCCCGGTGGCGCAGTGGGTTAAAGTGCTGAGCTGCTAAGCTTGTTGACTGGAAGGTCGCAGGAATCCGGGGAGCGGTGTGAGCTTCCGCTGTCAGCCCCAGCTTCTGCCAACCTAGCAATTCGAAAACATGCAAATATGAGTAGATCAATAGGTACCGCTCCGGTGGGAAGGTAACGGCGCTCTATGCAGTCATGCCGGCCACATGACCTTGGAGGTGTCTACGGACAACGCCAGCTCTTTGGCTTAGAAACAGAAATGAGCACCAACCCCCAGAGTCGGACACGACTGGACTTAATGTCAAGGGGAAACCTTTACCTTTTAGGGCTCCTTTTGGGCCAAGAAATCGTTACACAACCCCAGCTATATAAAATAGGTAAGTACAAAGTCCCCGAGTTACAGACATCCAACTTACAAATGACTCCCTGTTAAGAACAGGGCTAAGACAACAAGAAGTGAGAGTGATCTTGTATATTATTAATATTATTATTATATTGTAACAACAATAGATATGGTGTATGCGTGTGTGTATTTATTTATTTACTTCATTTGTTGACCGCCGTTCTCAGCCCTAGGGCGACTCACGGCGGTGTACAACATATAAAAACAGTTTACAATAGACAATATCACAGCAAAATCAACATAACAATCAATAATACAATTACACTAAATCATCCGCGCCGTCTCATCGTAGAATCCTAAGCCAAACTCGTTATCCATAATCCGTTCCGATCGTCATTGCCAATAGTTGTAGCACTTAGTCAAACGCCTTCTCAAATAACCATGTTTTTAGGCTCTTGCGGAATGCCATAAGGGAGGGCGCCTGTCTGATATCTACAGGGAGGGCGTTCCACAGCCGGGGATGTGTATATGTATATGTGTGTGTATGTGTGTGTATATATATATGTGTGTGTGTGTGTGTATACTAGCCATCCCCTGCCATGTGTTGCTGTGGCCCAGTATGTGTATATGTGTTTTGTGTGTGTATATATTTGTGTATATGTGTATATACATATATATGTGTGTGCGTATATAACGGCGCTCAATGCAGTCATGCCGGCCACGTGACCTTGGAGGTGTCTATGGACAACGCTGGCTCTTCGGCTTAGAAATGGAGATGAGCACCACACCCCAGAGTCAGACATGACTGGACTTACTGTCAGGGGACTACCTTTACCTTTACCTATATGTGTATATATGTGGTTTTGCGCATGCGTTGTAATGTATTTTTGTTTTTTGGTTTTTTAGTCTCTTCTGCTGTGTTTTCCAGTGTTTTTATGAGTGATGGTCACTCGTTGGCCTGATTGGTGTATTGTGTCCAAATTTGGTGTCAATTCGTCCAGTGGTTTTTGAGTTATGTGAGTCCCACAAATGAACATTATATATATATATATATACATACATACACACAAGCAGTTACAAAAATCCGACTTAACAAACAACTCCAGATCCATCCATCTATATATATACACACACACATACACACACACACACATATAATTATAATATTATAATGTAATGCAATATAATACTAGTAATAATAATTCAATATTATAATTATATATTTACATTACATGTAATATTACTAATAATATTACAATATAATGGTATAGTGCAATATAGTAATATATACTGCTATTGTACTATGCTAATAATATAATGTATTGTATGAAAATATATATTGTAAGCCGCTCTGAGTCCCCTTCGGGGTGAGAAGAGTGGCATATAAATGCCATAAATAAATAAATAATAAATAAATATAATTTATTTGTTTGTTGTTGTTGTTGTTGTTCATTCGTTCAGTCGTCTCCGACTCTTCGTGACCTCATGGACCAGCCCACGCCAGAGCTCCCTGTCGGCCGTCACCACCCCCAGCTCCTTCAAGGTCAGTCCAGTCGCTTCAAGGATGCCATCCATCCATCTTGCCCTTGGTCGGCCCCTCTTCCTTTTGCCTTCCACTTTCCCCAGCATCATTGTCTTCTCTAGGCTTTCCTGTCTCCTCATGATGTGGCCAAAGTACTTCAACTTTGTCTCTACTGTGTGTGTGTGTGTGTGTATACACACACACACAAGCAGTTACAAAAATCCGACTTAACAAACAACTCCAGATCCATCCATCTATACACACACATATATAATCTACCTAATGGGGTGGTGGTGCTTGGTGGAGGGGTTCCAGGGGGAGTCGTCTCTATTCCACTCTCTTCCATCATTTTCTTCTCAATAACACAGACCTTTTAAGAAAAGAGAAAATATTAATGCTGAGACTTTCCAACTGCCCACTTCAAGGCCCGGCTGTGGTTCAAACGATTCATATATTATTTATTATTATTTGAAACAACCATATTTTCACAAACCCGGATGACATCTAGACATTTGATAATCCAACCATGTAATCAATCCAAGTTGTATAGAGGTTTGTTTTGCGGCTTTTGCAATTGAATTGTGGCTTTTGCAATTCTCCAGAATCATTTTGTCAATCAGAAGCTGATCTTTCGTGCCCGTACTTCTTTTATTGCCTATTATTATTATTATTATTATTATTATTATTATTATTATTATTATTTATACCTTGTTATATCTCTCCCAAAGGAGAGCATCATCATCATCATCATCATCCTCATTTGAAACACAACAAGATGAGTCCACAGCAGACAAGGTCACTCTGCTGGCTGTTGTATTGGATCACCATTGGGTCCACTTTGACTGGCTTGTTCTAATATTTTCACAAACCCCGATGACATCTAGACGTTTGATGATCCAACAATGTGGCAGTGAGACAAATGCATTATTATTATTATTATTATTATTATTACTACTATTATTATTATTATTACAAACACAACAAGATGAGTCCACAGCAGACAAGGTCACTCTGCTGGCTGTTGCATTGGATCACACGTCGGACACTTCCCAAGTGTGATGTGTCGGCAAATAACGCGCGCAGATCCCAGTAGGGTGGCCTTTTGTTGTGGTTGTTGTTGTTATTTTACTGACACAAAAAGACAGTATGTCACAGCAAATGAGATCTATATGCTGGATTTCATATCACAAAATTCCCCCAGGCAGGAAGCAGGCAGACTTTGAAGCTGAAAGGCCATTCAATGCTAATCAAGGTGGCCAATGGCAACGTTCACTTTTCCCTCCAACAGACAAGAGTTCTTTCTCCCACCCTGGACATCATTCCACAGATATATAGGATTCCTTCAGGCAGGAAGCAGCCAGGCTTTGAAGCTGCAAGGCCATTCAATGCTAATCAAGCTGGCCAATGGCAACATTCACACTTGCCTCCAGCAGACAAGAGTTCTTTCTCCATCATTCCACAGGTGTATATATATATATATCATTCCCCCAGGCAGGAAGCTGCCAGGCTTTGAAGCTGCAAGGCCATTCAATGCTAATCAAGGTGGCCAATGACAACATTCACTTTTCCCTCCAACAGACAAGAGTTCTTTCTGCCACCCTGGACATCATTCCACAGGTATAGATACATAGATAGATAGATAGATAGATAGATAGATAGATAGATAGATAGATAGATAGAGATAGAGATATAGGATTCCTTCAGGCAGGAAGCAGCCAGGCTTTGAAGCTGCAATGCCATTCAGTGGCCACAGATATAGATAGATAGATAGATAGATAGATAGATAGATAGAGATACAGGATTCCTCCAGAGTTCTTCCTCCCACCCTGGACATCATTCCACACAGGATTCCTTCAGGGAGGAAGCAGCCAGGCTTTGAGTTCTTTCTCCTACCCTGGACACCATTCCACAGGTATAAATATATATAGGACTCCCTCAGGCAGGAAGCAGCCAGACTTTGAAGCTGCAAGGCCGTTCAGTGCTACTCAAGGTGGCCAATGACAACATTCACACTTGCCTCCAGCAGGCAAGAGTTTTTTGTCCATCATTCCACAGGTATAAATATATGTATCATTCTCCCACCCTGGACAATATTCCACAGATATAGATAGATAGAGAGAGATATAGGATTCCCCCAGGCAGGAAGCAGCCAGGCTTTGAAGCTGCAAGGCCATTGAGTGCCAATCAGTGGCCAATGGCAACATTCACTGTTGCCTCCAACAGAGAAGAGTTCTTCCTTCTACCTTGGACATCATTCCCCAGATATATATATAGAGAGAGGATTCCTCCAAGCAGGAGGCAGCCAGGCTTTGAAGCTGCAAGGCCATTCCATGCTAATCAGTGGCCACTGATTCAGATATAGATAGATAGATAGATAGATAGATAGATATAGATATAAGATTCCCCCAGGGAGGAAGCAGCCAGGCTTTGAATCTGCAAGGCTATTCAATGCCAACCAAGGTGGCCAATGGCAACATTCACACTTGCCTCCAACAGACAAGAGTTCTTTCTCCTACCCRGGACATCATTCCACAGAGATAGATAGAGATATAGGATTCCCTCAGGCAGGAAGCAGCCAGGCTTTGAWGCTGCAAGGCCATTCMGTGYCCACAGATATAGATAGATAGATAGATAGATAGATAGATAGAGATATAGGATTCCCTCAGGCAGGAAGCAGCCAGGCTTTGAAGCTGCAAGGCCATTCGGAGACCACAGATATAGATAGATAGATAGATAGATAGATAGATAGATAGATAGAMATAGATAGGATTCCCTCAGGCAGGAAGCAGCCAGGCTTTGAAGCTGRAATGCCATTCGGTGGCCACAGATATAGATAGATAGATAGATAGATAGATAGATAGATAGATAGATAGACAGACAGACAGACAGACAGACAGACAGACAGACAGACAGACAGACAGACAGAGATAGGATTCCCTCAGGCAGGAAGCAGCCAGGCTTTGAAGCTGCAATGCCATTCGGTGGCCACAGATATAGATAGATAGATAGATAGATAGACAGATAGACAGACAGACAGACAGACAGACAGAGATAGATAGGATTCCCTCAGGCAGGAAGCAGCCAGGCTTTGATGCTGCAAGGCCATTCGGTGACCACAGATATAGATAGATAGATAAATAGATAGATAGATAGATAGATAGATAGATAGATAGATAGATAGATAGATAGATATAGATAGGATTCCCTCAGGCAGGAAGCAGCCAGGCTTTGAAGCTGCAATGCCATTCAGTGGCCACAGATATAGATAGATAGACAGACAGACAGACAGAGATAGAGATATAGGATTCCCTCGGGGAGGAAGCATGCAGGCTTTGAATCTGCAAGGCCATTCAGTGCTAATCAAGCTGGCCAATGACAACATTCACACTTGCGTCCAATAGACAAACTTTCTTTTTCCCCACCCTAGATGTCATTCCAGAGGTATAAATATATAGGATTCCCTCAGGCAGGAAGCAGCCAGGCTTTGAAGCTGCAAGGCTGTTCTATGGCACGCCAATACCAACATTCACACTTGCCTCCTGTGTATTATTCCACAGAGATATAAACCCCATTTGCCTTGTTTCCAACAGACCTCACAACCTCTGAGGATGCTTTCCACAGATGTGGGCGAAACGTCAGGAGAGAATGCTTCTGGAAGACAGCCTGGAAATCTCACAGCAACCTATCAATGTATTATTATTGTTGTTGTTGTTGTTGTTGTTATATGCTGACAGACTCAATCTGCCCACCTGAAGTCCCAGTTGTGACCAACAGAACTTCTAACTTCGAGAATCCCTGAATTGCTACTTCAAAACCGCGGAGGGCTCCTGGGAGTTGTAGTCCTGTAAACCCGGAAGTCCCGAAGGTGGTACAGGAGGAGGATGGGCCTGCGGGACTCCATTTCCCACAAGGCACCGCTCCGCGCAGGCGCAGAGGCCTCCTTGCCACGTCTCGCTTGTTGTGTCTCCCTTCTCAGTCGTAATAAAACCTCATAATAAGCCAAATTAAACAAATAAAGGCGAATAAAAGACAACAAAATGAAATAATAATGAAACTTTCGGGACTAATTGTCAATAATTAGGATGATAAATTAGATTAAAAAGGCGCCAATCCCCCTCCAGGCCGCACTTCCCGCGCTTTTTCCTCACCTCAGGCCTCGGCGAGAATGGCGGCGCTGTTGGAGGGATCCCGGTGCCTTCCTTACCGGCTCCAGGCTCTAAAATGGCGAGCCGGGAGCCTCCTCTTTGACCTCAGCCTGCCACGTTCGCTTTCCCCGCCTCTTTCCCCCACTTTGGGCCTTTAAAGCTTTTTTTGGACTTCAACTCCCAGCATGCCTCACCATTGGGTGACACAGCCGAGGCTTCTGGGAGTTGAAGTCCAAATCTTGCAAACCAATATAAGGAATGACTTGGGCCCTTTAAGGGTTGTTTGGACTCCAACTCCCGGCATGCCTCGCCATTGGGTGACACAGCCGAGGCTTCTGGGAGTTGAAGTCCAAATCTTGCAAACCAATGTCAAGGAAAGACTTGGGCCCTTTAAGGGTTGTTTGGACTTCAACTCCCCGAAGCCTCCGCCGTGACACTTAATAGCGAGGCATGCTGGGAGTTGAAGTCCAAAACAAGTATACAGGGAACCACGGGACCGGAAGTACCTCACATTTCAAGGTTTGGAACTGGGTTTTGAAACAATTGCATCTCCTTACCTGCAATTCCAAAATAGGAGATATTCTGAGTGATTTTAGAATTATTATTGGAATTTGGAATCTTTTGCATATTTGTTAATGAAATGATAATGTTCAGGACCAGAAGTCTGGAGTTTTGGGATATTTGCATATATGTTAATATATGTTAATGAGATCATCTTGGTGAGGAAACCTCAATCCAACCACTAAACTCTCCTTTAAGATAGATAGAGAGACACACAGACAAAGATGGAATCTCTTTGGGGAGTCTATGGAGTTTCAGAATATTTGAATAAATTTTAATACATACATATGTTAATGAGATGATCTTGGCGAGGAAACCCCAATCCAAGCATGAAACTCTCCTTTAAAATATATATATACACACACAAACACAAAGATGGAATCTCTTTTGGGGAGTCTTTGGGATTTTGGAATATTTGCATAAATACATGTTAATATATGTTAATGAGATGATCTTGGTGGGGAAACCCCAATCCAAGCACGAAATTCTCCGTTAAGATACACACACACACAAAGATGGAATCTCTCCTTTTCTGAAATGTTCACAACCAGAAGTCTTTGGGGTTTTGGAATATTTGCATAGATGTTAACGAGATGATGTTGGTACTGAGACCCCAATCCAACTCTCTCAAAAGTTTCATATATATATATATATGGACTCTCCCTTTTTTCTGAAATGTTCAGGATCAGAAGTCTTTGGGGTTTTGGAATATTTGCATGTATGTTGATATATGTTAATGCGATGATCTTGGAACTGGGACCCAATCCAAACACGACACTTTTAAGTTTCATATATATATATATATACATATATATACACATATATATATACACACATAGAGAGAGAGAGATGGAATTTCCTTTCTTCTGAAATGTTCAGGACCAGAAGCCTCTGGGGTTTTGGAATACTTGCATATATGTTAATATATGGTAATGAGATGATCTTGGAGGTGGGATCCCAATTGAAGCATGACACTTTCTTTCAAGTTTCACACACATATATATATATACACATATACACACAAACACAGAGGGAATCTCCTCTTTTCTGAAATGTTCACGACCAGAAGTCTTCAGGGTTTTGGAATATTTGCATTTGCATGTTAATATATGTTAATGAGATGATCTTGCAGAGGGGACCCCAATCCGAACACGAAAAGCTCAAAGGGCCTTGAAGATCGCCAAGAGTTCGAGATAGTTGATGAGGCACTGCCTCTCCTCTGCCGACCACAGGTCTTGGACGGAGAGTTCTCCTGTATGGCATCCCCATGCGAACATCGACACGTCCGTGGTGAAGGTGACGGACGGGGGTTCGGGATGGAAGGGGACGCCCTTGCAGACATGGTGCCGATCTGTCCACCACTTCAGGGATTTTTTCACGGATGGTGGAACCACTAACTGCTTTGACACTCTGTCTCTGATTGGATTGAAGTGATCGAGGAACCACCTTTGAAGGGGACGGAACCGCAGCCTTACCAGTGGGGTTACCATCACCGTGGAGGTTTGTCCTGCAACTCTGAAGGCCAGGAAGCGTATGTGGTGCTTTCTGATTGAAAGATGAAAATAAGCGTCCCGAAGGTCGATGGACGCAAAGAAATTTATTTATTTATTTATTTATTTCAGTTACTTATGGGTTCAGAAAAGGCAGAGGAACCAGAGATCAGATTGCCAATATCCGGATGCTGGATAATGGAGAAAGGCAGGGAGTTTCAGAAAAACATCTACTTCTGCTTCATTGACTATTCTAAAGCCTTTGACTGTGTGGATCATAATAAATTGTGGCAAGTTCTTGGTGGGATGGGCATCCCAATGCCACCTTCCCTCTCTCCTGAGGAATCTGTACAAGGACCAAGAAGCAACAGTCAGAACTGACCACGGAACAGGAGACTGGTTCAAGATTGGGAAAGGCGTACGGCAAGGCTGCATCCTCTCACCCAACCTTTTTAACTTGTATGCAGAACACATCATGCGATGTGCGGGGCTTGATGAATGCAAGGCTGGGGTGAAAATTGCTGGAAGAAACATTAACAACCTCAGATATGCAGATGACACCACCCTGATGGCCGAAAGCGAGGAGGAGCTGAGGAGCCTTCTCATCAAGGTGAAAGAAGAAAGCGCAAAAGCCGGGTTGCAGCTAAACGTCAAAAAAACCAAGATTATGGCAACAAGAATGATTGACAACTGGGAAATAGAGGGAGAAACCGTGGAGGCCGTGACAGACTTTGTATTTCTAGGTGCAAAGATGACTGCAGATGCAGACTGTAGCCAGGAAATCAGAAGACGCTTACTTCTTGGGAGGAGAGCAATGTCCAATCTCGATAAAATAGTGAAGAGTAGAGACATCAGAATGGCAACCAAGATCCATTGCCTAGTCAAAGCCATGGTCTTCCCTGTAGTCACCTACGGATGTGAGAGCTGGACCTTAGGGAAGGCTGAGCGAAGGAAGAGAGATGCTTTTGAGCTGTGGTGTTGGAGGAAAGTGCTGAGAGTGCCTTGGACTGCGAGAAGATCCAACCAGTCCATCCTCCAGGAAATAAACCCTGCTAACTGGAGGGAAAGATACTAGAGACAAAGTTGAAGTACTTTGGCCACATCATGAGGAGACAGGAAAGCCTAGAGAAGACAATTATGCTGGGGAAAGTGGAAGGCAAAAGGAAGATGGACCGACCAAGGGCAAGATGGATGGATGGCATCCTTGAAGTGACTGGACTGACCTTGAAGGAGCTGGGGGTGGTGACGGCCTGACAGGGAGCTCTGGCGTGGGCTGGTCCATGAGGTCACGAAGAGTCGGAGACGACTGAACGAATGAACAACAACATACCGCGCCCTTCTCACCCCCAAGGGGGGGACTCAGGGCGGCTTACAAAGGAAGGCGTGTGTGTGTGTGTGTGTGAAACTTGAAAGAAAGTGTCATGCTTCAATTGGGATCCCACTTCCAAGATTTCGATGCCTATATCAAAAATATATATATACATAAAGCAATTAAACAGTTAACAGGTTAAAAACATCAGTGCACAACACAATAGTAAACAATCTCGTGGTCAGTGTCCAGAGTTCCATAAATCCATTCCGTTCCGTCAGTTCCTGCCCATCATCAAGGTCTTTCCTTTAGCTGCCAGAATGTCCAAAAGCCTGGTCCCACATCCAGGTCTTCAATTTTTTTCTGAATGAAAAAAGGGAGGTCGCTGATCTAATCTCCCCAGGGAGTGAGTTCCACAGGTGAGGGGCCACCACTGAGAAGCCCTGCTCCTCGTCCCCGCCAGCCTCACTTGTGCCACTGGCGGGGTCGAGAGCAGGGCCTCCCCAGAAGATCTTAAACTTCGAGGTGGGACGTAGAGGGAGATCCGTTCGGACAAATACACTGGGCCGGAACCGTATAGGGTTTTAGGTCAAAACCAGCACTTTAAATTGTGCTCGGAATTGGATCGGCAGCCAGTGGAGCTGACGCAACAGGGGGGTGGTGTGCTCCCTGTACGCCGCTCCGGTGAGCAATCTGGCTGCTTCTCGCTGGACTAGTTGGAGTTTCCGAGCAGTCTTCAAAGGCAACCCCACGTAGAGTGCATTGCAGTAATCCAACCGGGATGTGACAAGAGCGTGGACCACCGTGGCCAGATCAGACTTCCCAAGGTACGGGCGCAGCTGGCGCACAAGTTTTAATTGTGCGAAAGCTCCCCTGGCCACCGCCGAAACCTGGGGTTCCAGGCTCAGCGATGAGTCCAGGGTCACACCCAAACTGCGAACCTGCGTCTTCAGGGGGAGTGCGACCCCATCCAACACAGGCTGTAACCCTATACCCTGTTCGGCCTTGCGACTGACCAGGAGTACCTCTGTCTTGTCTGGATTCCATTTCAATTTGTTCGCCCCCATCCAGACCGTCACAGCGGCCAAGCACCGGCCCAGCGGAGTTGATGTTGGAGGACCATCGCTTCAATGCTGGTGGTCTTTGCTTCTTCCAGCACGCTGACGTTTGTCCGCTTGTCTTCCCAGGAGATTTGCAGGATTTTCTGGAGGCAGCGCTGATGGAATCGTTCCAGGAGTTGCATGTGATGTCTGTAGACAGTCCACGTTGGTACCGGATAACGAGACCGTATCGTCCATTAGGGCGTCAAACACGGCACCTAGGGTGATTCCCTCCTGACAGTTGGCGGGACCTTGAGCGCTGTTGTTGTGGTTGTGCTCTTCGCTGCTGCTGGGGCTGTTGCGGGTGGGCTTGCTTGTGAGATGACTGAAGGGGGCGAAAAGACTAACGGTACTGAATCTGCCGGTATGGAACCTGGCTGTGGTTGGCCTCCCGCAGTGAAAGGTTTTCTCTCAAAGAGCCTTGATATAAATCCTTGAAGCTGATTTCCTGTAAAAACAACAACCAGGAAGTATTATTTGGCACAGAACTAAATTTCTGGGTGGCTTCGCTCCTATTATTATTATTATTATTATTATTATTATTATTATTATTATTACACAAGCTGGATGGCCATCTGTGGGAGGTGCTTTAACTGTGCTTTTCTGTATGGCAAAAGGGGTTGGACTGGATGGCCCTATGGTTGCTACTATTTTTATTAATATTACTATCATCATCATCACAAAGGAGGGATGACCATCTGCTGGGGGTGCTTT